TTATGGGGATTCCCTTGTGTGTTATTTGTTGTTTTTCCCTTGCTGCTTTTAATATTTTTGCTTTGTATTTCATTTTTGATAGTTTGATTAATATGTGTCTTGGCGTGTTTCTCCTTGGATTTATCCTGTATGGGACTCTCTGTGCTTCCTGAACTTGATTAACTATTTCCTTTCCCATATTGGGGAAGTTTTCAACTTCCCTAATCTCTTCAAATATTTTCTCAGTCCGTTTCTTTTTCTCTTCTTCTTCTGGAACCCCTATAATTAGAGAGTTGGTGCGTTTAATGTTGTCCCACAGGTCTCTGAGACTGTCCTCAGTTGTTTTCATTCTTTTTTCTTTATTCTGCTCTGCAGTAATTATTGCTACTCTTTTATCTTCCAGGTCACTCATCCATTCTTCTGCCTCAGTTATTCTGCTCTTGATCCCTTCTAGAGAATTTTTAATTTCATTTATTGTGTTGTTCATCACTGTTTGCTCTTTAGTTCTTCTAGGTCCTTGTTAAACATTTCTTGTATTTTGTCTATTCTATTTCCAAGGTTTTGGATCATCTTTACTATCATTATTCTGAATTCTTTTTCAGGTAGACTGCCTATTTCCTCTTCATTTGTTAGGCCTGGTGGGTTTTTACCTTGCTCCTTTATCTGCTGTGCGTTTTTCTGTCTTCTCATTTTGCTTAACTTACTGTGTTTGGGGTCTCCTTTTCGCAGGCTGCAGGTTCGCAGTTCCCGTTGTTTTTGGTGTCTGTCCCCAGTGGCTAAGGTTGGTTCAGTGGGTTGTGTAGGCTTCCTGGTGGAGGGGACTAGTGCCTGTGTTCTGGTGGATGAGTCTGGATCTTGTCTTTCTGGTGGACAGGTCCACATCTGGTGGTGTGTTTTGGGGTGTCTGTGGCCTTATTATGATTTTAGGCAGCCTCTCTGCTAATGGATGGGGCTGTGTTCCTGTCTTGCTAGTTGTTTGGCATAGGGTGTCCAGCACTGTAGCTTGCTGGTTGTTGAGTAAAGTTGGGTTTTGGCGTTGAGATGGAGATCTCTGGGAGATTTTCGCTGTTTGATATTACGTGGAGCTGGGAGGCCTCTTGTGGACCAGTGTCCTGAAGTTGGCTCTCCCAGCTCAGATGCACAGCACTGACTCCTGGCTGGAGCACCAAGAGCCTTTCATCCACACGGCTGGCACAAGGTGGCCATCCATGGTTTCATGTCAACGTCATCTCAGGCACAAACCTCCTTGTTTTTCCATTTTGTCTTTAAGTTACTTGTTGAAACAACGGGCCCCTGATCCCCAGGACTGTTGCGGCTTCGGCCGCTGGGGCCCCTCTGGAGCCAGCATCCTCAGTGAGGCCTCCCTCCCCTTGGGCTCCGGAGCAGTTTTGACGGCGGAGGGAAGAGACCCCGAGCCAGGAGTTCCAGCTCTGCGGAAACGCGGGCTCCATTCTCTCCATTAGTTCTTAATACTTATCTTAAAGTTCTCTAGATTGACCTAAGATTAACATAAAATAAAATATAAAGGAAAGCGAGTATTAATTAGAACTCTCTTATCAAGTTGGGGACTCACAAGCTTTCACTAAAACCTCCTTATTGTTATGTGGGTCGAGACAAGTGCTGTTTGGCGTTAGGAGCTCTTGTTACTGAGATCTGGGTGACTGCCTTGTCCCAAAGGATGAGTGCCTCCATCCTCATGCAGTTTCCTGGGCAGTGCCACAGAGCATGGAGTTGGAGTTTTAAATACTGAGCTGTGCCAGCCCTCTAAGATCTGACCCCCAAAGTCCTGCTTTTAACAATCCCAGGGAGTTAGCCTCTGAGCCAGTCATTGGGCACTGTCCCTTATGGACACTGTCCCTTAGGAATCAGAACCAGGCAATGGTGAACAACCAGAGGACTTTCTGGGGCTTGACTATTCCCATTATTGGCTGTTCTTGTGGTTTTTCTTCTGCCAGGAGGAACCAGTTCTCTTTTTCTTTCCTGGAGGTCTTTGCTCCCCAGTAGAGGTCACCCAGTTGTTAGAAACTGCTGTGTTACCAGAGGATCAGTGCTCTATTCAAGCTAGAGCACAGTTGAGGACTGTACCCAGCCCCAGGAGAGTAATAACTGTTATTTTTTGGGTGCTTAAGTCATACAGCTAGTGAGTTGCTGAATTGGGATTCTGACCCAGGCATTCCAGCTCCAGATACATTCTGGGTGGAGTAGCCAAGTTCTTTGAACATCTGACAGTAGAGAAACTGCCTCTCTAGAGTGCTGTTCACTCCTGAAAGTAGCGCCTCTTAGGACAGTCAGACTGTATCACGTCTCTCTCCCTTCTGCTTTCCCCACCTCTAAGGCAGCCTCCAGTAGGCCCATATCCGTTCACAAGGTGACAGACTCAGCCTTCTGTGAATCTTGAAAGATATCACACATTAGTGCCTCTAACTCTGCTTGTGGAATGGTTCTTATGACACATTCCCTTTGGTAAATACCAGGGCTTCTACCTGAGCCCTTCCAAATGGTAGGTCCTACAAACTCTTCCATAAATAACCTTTTACTCTCCTAGCACCCAGAGAAATGACCTCAAAGAAGACCTTTCTTTCTTCTTTCCTTCCTTCCTTCCTTCATGGAGAAGATGAGCACATTTAGACTCAACAATCTTTTCATCAAAATCTTTAGGCCTCTGTATGACCCAGACATTGCACTCCTGGCCATTTATGCCAGAGAAGTGAAGACTTAATATAAAAATATGTACCTGAATGTTTTTAGAAGCCTTAACATAACGCCCCAAAACTGGAGATATTCAGATGTCCTTCAGTAGGTAGACAGTTAAACTGTGGTACATCCATACCTTGGAATACTACTCAGCAGTAGAAAAGAAACAAACTGTTGATACAGACAACAACCCAGATAAATCTCCAGAGAATTATGTTGAGTGAAAAAAAAAAAAAATCCTCAAAGGTTACATACTGTATGGCTCTATTTATGTAACACTCTAGAAATGACAGAATTATAGTAATGGAAGACAGTAGTGGTTTCCAGGGGATAAGGAGGGGTAGGGGCAGGAGGGGAGTAGGTGTGGCTGTAAGAAGACAAAGATCCTGGTGGGGCTGGAAATATTCTGTATCCTGACAGTATCAGTGTCAATATCCTGGTTGTGATATGGTACTACTATTGTTTTACTCTGTGTTACCATCAGGGGAAACTGGGTGAAAGGTACACAGGATCTCTCTGTATTGTTTCTTACAACTGAATTTGAATGTACAATTATCTCAAAATAAAAAGTTTAATTTAAAAAATCTTTAGTCCTCTTCACCCTTTGGACAATAGTTAACGTGTCCCGATTTTTATTCATTTCTATTATTTCTTGGGGAATCTATCAATAGCTTTTTCTAGTGGTTTATTTAGGGTCTTCAGCATTTTCTCGGCAGGTTTCTAGTAATTAGGTCTAATGCATTTATATAGCATTAAGTTTGAAATCACATAAATTTGTAATTTGATCGTTTATTTTCTTATGTGACCTTGTCATATCAAAAGAAACTGGCAGAAAATGGTCTTTCTTATGGATTTAAGGAAACATTAGGATTACTTTGGGGGCACATAACTATATAATCTATAATTCTATCTCCAAATAAACAGCTACACTTGTCCTTTTCATAATATAAATCCTACTGTCTTCAGAATAACCCCTGTACCATTTTAACATTGAAAAAGCCACATCTTAAGTTAATATATTAGAGAGAGACTTTAGTCATGAAGACTCAGCTCTAGTGGGCAGGACAAAAAAGGAAAATAGTAGGCTTTGGGTGAACACAGACTATTTGTTCAGGGAAATCAATTAAGTGGCTCAGTGATCATGAAATCTGTCTAAACTGGTATTACAGACTTGCAGAAATATAGGGAACAGTCGAAGAGGGTTGGATGTTTTGCGTATTATCATGTCATCATGATATTTGCTGAACTGTTGTGGGACTGGTCCTCACATGTAGTTTGTCTTCACTTCCAACCTCGCACTGATAGCCCTCATGATACAACCTGACTTACATATGGTAAATGGAGCTTTATAAAATGCCATTGATTATTCCCTATAAGTTTATTTAAAGGGACTTGATGACAGCGTAAATGACTAGTAAAAGTCATGAATTTCAGCTGGAACTATAAATTTGGGATTTAGACTTTATATCCCAAATTTACCACTTAGCATATTATCTGGAACATTTTGGGCACACAGTAAATGTTTGCCTAACAAATTACTATTGATTTTTTGTGGTCCATGCTGCCTGTCTTTGACCCCCTTGCTTCCACGTTTCCTCAAGAAAAGAGTGCATTGGGACTGATGGGGGACTCTCCAAATGTCTGTCAGTGCCCTAAGGGGAAACCTGAGGGGGGGTTCCCAGTGAAAGTGTGAGTGTGGGGCTGCACCGAGATGCAGGAGGGCTGGGGTCAGGCATGTGGAAAAGACTGCAGATAGATTTGAGCCAGTTTTCTTTCACACTGAAAAGAAAAGGTAGGGGGACAATCTCAGGAGGAGATTTAAGTACCAGTATTCAAGACAGATTAGACTTTTTTTTTTCTTAAATGTACCTGTTTGGTTTAAACACAAGTATTGGTTGTTTTTAATTTTTTCCCCCACTGCAAATACCATTTTATTTCTAAAATTGCTTTAGTGGGCTAACCTGAGGTGTAGCCACCATTTATAATGGAAAAAGTATGCATTCCAAATTCTGGTAAGTTAGAGTGAATTTTCAGAGCACAGTTTCTCCTCTATTGATGGTAACATAATCTGACTCTCTTTCTTTCATCTTTCTGACCGTGCTTTCTTGTTAGTGGGCAACAGAGCTTCTCCTTATTAAGCCCTTCTTTCCTCCTTTTCACCACTTTATTACTCGTCATTGACTTTAGTAGCCTCATAAGTTGATGCCTTACCCATAGATTTTCTGGAAAATATCTACAGGTCCTTGTACCTTGTCTATGTTTAGTAGAATAGCAAGTCCTTTTTCACACCACATCTTTGTTATAACTGAATTTTCTATTTATTATAGATCCTTGCTGGCACATTTCTGGATAGTCTGTTGAACCTTCTTAAGAATTCAGAGAAACTGCCGTGTGACCACGGAGAGAAAGATCTAATCTTAAGGCTTACGTGAGTATTTTCTACTGTGGACTCCCTCACAACATGTGAAAGCTTCAGTGAACTGTGGCCTTGCTTTTGGGCAGATTCAGTTCTATAGTCAAGATGAAAAATGTTATCTATCATTGGGCTTATTAAATTTTGAGGTTAGTAGTTTCTCAGGGACACAAAGAAATCACAAAATAAACCATGCTTATTCTCACTTAAAAAGTAGACAAGAAAGACTTGTCCTTTTTACTGAGCTGATATTCAAAAGAATCCCAGTCTGCAAACCACAAGAATTCTTAACTGTTTGAACCAAAAATACCAAGTAGATTGTTTTTCATTATCTATTCTTAGAGAATTTATATTCTTAAGAGAATTTAACCGAAACACGATACCTCTTGAAAAGCACTTGATATGTGGTATTTTAATTTTTTAAAAGCTTGTGATACCTCTGTCTTTTTTATGATCCAATCCAGTGACTACTGTAGGGGAAAATAGGGAGATTACCCTTGAAAGAGAATTCTTGACTGTTTTTTTGAGAAACATCTTCCCATAGGGTTAATTTCTTTAAAAAGCATTATATAGTGTCATAATCTGAGGTTTATCTTATCTTGATCCCTGTAACTCTTAATCATAAACATATTTTCCCGTTATTTAGAATTATCCTTAATAGCTCCTTCTCACCCTTTATATCCAACAGGTCATTGAGTTGTGTTCATTCTATCTAGTGTATCGCTCTCCAGTATGTCCCCTTCTCTCTGCCAGTGCCTTAGATCAGGCTATCATCATTTCTTGCCTGGATCTCTACAATGACACTGATTGATCTCCCTGTCTCCAATCTTGACCCCCTCCAAACTAACCTCTCTGTATTGCCAGAAAGTCATCTTTCTGAAAGACTAATATACTAAGACCATGCCATTTCCTTGACTTAAAATCCTTCAATGACTCCTTACTAAAATTCAGGTATAATAAATCTTACTATGGACTTGTTAGGAAGATTAAATAAAATTCATTAAGACCCCTTAATGCAGTGCCTGGCTCAGAACAGGCTCTCAGTCTGTGTTAATGTTTCCCCCTTGCACGCATGGCAGCAGCAGAGCTTAAGGTGGCCCAGGAATAGAGGGACAGTGGCTCTGCTGGAAACCAGGCTAAAATGAGTAGGGGCCAAGAATCTCACCGAACTCCAGAGCCAGGCTTTCCTAAATCCCCAGGAGGTTAGGCACAATAGATTGATCTAGCATCCATTTCCATCTGTGTTCCAGGAAGACTTTGCCTGATAAATTATAAGCCAAGCTCATCTGTGACTAAGCTTTTTTAACCTTAGAGTAAGGGAGCCATCTTAACAAACACATAGGTCTCTGCCTTTGTGTTTTCTTGTTTTGGTTTGTTTTCTCTTTAACTTCTTAGTAAAGTTTCTTTTGTCCGGCTTTAACTTTTTCTTAAGTGAACCAAGGAAGGCACAATTGCAGGTGGGGTGGAAACACACACACACGCACGCACACACACACACACACACACACACGCACGCACGCATGCATGCGCTGAGAGTCCAAGAAATTGCTGAGGGCAGGGAAGTATCATTGAAGGATGTGTGGAAACACCTACTGGTGAACCGAGGCTACTCAGATGGGTGAAGTGTTAGCATGGACACAGCTGGGATGCTGCCTTTGTCCTGCCTCTGCATCCCCACAGAGACCTGCTTTTCCTCATCTCTCCATCTTCAGACAGTGGGAGTTTGGCAAAATCAGATATTTAGATAACCACAGAACAAAGCAGAATAGGATCAATACTGTAAAAAGGACAGAATTCTTAATTTCATGATACTTCCAGTTTTTAAATTTAGTTTGTTGCCTTCCTTAGCTTTTCTCTTTCTATGAAAAATTTGAAGTTTGTACTCTAAACACAACATTTAGCAGGTCCTTATTGAGTGTGAATTAAGTTATTATTTTTTTCATACTGATTTAGTTAACTTTTGAGCTGATAATTCTGTTTTACCATATAGAATATCTCAAATACAATAAAAAGCAAATATATGAAAGAGAATTACTTTGTTTTAAACAAGAATCTCTACCAGTAGTAGCGTTTGTGTGTGTGTATGTAGTAGTGTATAGGTAGTTTTATGAAGTTTAAGGAACATGCTGTCTTTGTCTTCTGATGATGTAATAAAATTAAATCTAAGCACTTTATATCTTTTTTTTTTTTTTTTGCGGTACGCGGGCCTCTCACTGTTGTGGCCTCTCCCGTGGTGGAGCACAGGCTCCGGACGCTCAGGCTCAGCAGCCACGGCTCACGGGCCCAGCCGCTCCGCGGCATGTGGGATCTTCCCAGACCGGGCCATGAACCCGTGTCCCCTGCATCTGCAGGCGGTCTCTCAACCACTGCGCCACCAGGGAAGCCCTAAGCACTTATATCTTGCTTCACTTTAAAAATATCTCAATCCAGGGACTTCCCTGGCAGTCCAGTGGTTAAGACTCCACGCTTCCAATGCAGGGGATGCAGGTTTGATCCCTGGTTGGGGAACTAAGACCCACGTGCCGTGTGGCGTGGCCAAAAAAAAAAAAATCTCAGTCTTTTTATATGATGAAAAGTGAAATATGGCTTTATGGTAATTTAATTGCAATTTTGATTCAACAGATATGAAAAAATGAGACATTTTAATGGAAAATAAAATATAATAATTGATAACTCTGTTGTTGTTTCTGTTTGGTGAGGTAATTTATTAGAGGCAGAAGGCCAAGGAGAAAAAGAAATAGCGCTTTTCTAAATGACTTCATTGTCTTGATTTAGTTGGCTTCTCTGAATCTTGTTCACCTTATATTTCATTACAGGCGCATTCCATCACCGAATCTGAACAATGTCCTACGTTTTTGTGAATGATTCTTCTCAGACTAATGTGCCCCTGCTACAAGCCTGTATTGATGGAGACTTTAACTACTCCAAGAGGCTTTTGGAAAGTGGCTTTGACCCAAATATTCGTGACAGCAGGGGCAGAACAGGCCTTCACCTCGCAGCAGCCCGAGGGAATGTAGACATCTGCCAGTTATTACATAAATTTGGTGCTGATCTCCTGGCCACAGATTATCAGGGAAACACAGCTCTTCATCTCTGTGGCCACGTGGATACTATTCAATTCTTAGTTTCCAATGGACTCAAAATTGATATTTGGTAAGTTCTGTGGTTTTTGAAGTCTTGTCACTTCTTCCCATTAGTCTGTCAACCAATGATCTAATCTTGGAGACCATTGATTTTGTTTCCTCACTGATTGAGCACAGCAACAAGTTCAGAAGGGTATTGAGGACAATGAGTAAGGGAACAAGAGGCTGACTTCTAGATTTATGCTGAAGCAGTGTATGTTTTTCTACGAAAATAGTGGCTAGGTTCTGCTACTAATTAATTGTGTATTGTAAGACAAGGGCACTTGTCAACAATCTATTACAGCCTGGGCACTGCACATACTGTGTTTAGCTCATTTAATCCTCAGAATGAATAACTCTTAAGGTAGGTATTCATTTTATAGATGAAATAATTGAGACAAGCATTCTGGGTTAAATGACTTAACAAAGGTCACACAGCTAGAATCTGAACCTAGTTCCACCTGATTCCAAAGCTTGTTTGCCTTCTATCGTGTAATATACCATGCTAGCTTCATAATCTCTCTGGGGCGCTCACAGTCCTTTTGATACTGAACAATTTGAAGAGGTAGTGGTTTTTTTGGTTTGTTTTAGTGATTCCGTCTCTTGAGTGGGAAAGATCAGGCCACTTTAAAAAGTGACCTTGACCTTTAAGCCACAGTTTCATGTTGCCCTAATTTATTGGTGCTATAGTGTCCCTAAATTTGAATAAGACAGTAAATGGTTCTGCTGCTACAGAACAAGATGTGGTGGAAATTAACTATAGGATTCAGTGTTACTTGGGCTCTCTCCTGTTGTTAAATAGCTAGGTGAACCAAAGCAGCTTATTTGATTGCTTTTGAGCGTGGGTGTTTTTTTTGTTGTTGTTTGTTTAATTCTTAGACATTTAAAAAAGATATACACCCTTCTCATGAAATATATAAATGTCAGATAGGATGAATCTAGAATTTTCCAATTAATTTCTAGGAAGATGCCCTCCTTTTCTTTTATTCGTTCTCATTTATCTACTCTTGCCTGTATATTTTTTTTTTCCTTTTTCTCTAAAAGGAAAAAAAAAAAAGATTAACTCAAAATTCAGGTTCCAACTCAACTGCTGGTTCTGCTCTGGGTTTTAATTTCGAGTTAATGGGACCCATGCCTTCCTCACTGAGATCTACACAAATGGCTACTAACAGTATAATATAACCTCTTTATTTTTATGAACTTTTTAGCAATCATCAAGGTGCTACACCCCTAGTCCTGGCAAAGCGCAGGGGAGTGAATAAAGATGTCATCCGATTGCTGGAATCTTTGGAAGAACAGGAGGTAAAAGGATTTAACAGAGGAACTCACTCAAAACTGGAGACTATGCAGACAGCTGAGAGTGAAAGGTACCTAAGATTTTTTTTTTAAGGGGCAAGTCACTTTAAGTGAATCTTTTATGACAACTTTTTGTCAGCTTTATATTTATTTGCTTTCAAGTAAAGTGCTTTGATACTTTCTTTGAACTTATATTAGTCCTTATGGCTCCAGATTACAATTGAAAAGCTATTAATGGAAAGTACTATGTGTCCACATGCACAGAATGTTCTGTTAGCCACTGGGCAGGGCAGCCTGCTGTATTGGTAGTACAAGTGAAAAGAGCTGAATAAGAGGGAGGGAAACAGGAGTCTGAGAATTTAAGTACAGATCACAAAAAGAATGGAATTTCGAAAAAGAAGGAGAAAGATAAGTCAGGACAAGAACTTGGACAGTATTAGAAAAGACCAAAATGCTACCTTTCAAAGGTAGGGAATTAAAGTGCTGAGGAAAAGTAAAACAGAAGGAGAGTAAGACAAGACTTAACACATACACAGTTCAGTGATGTGAAAGTGACTTTTACATGAGATGGAGCAAATGAAATTTGGGCTCCTGTAAGTTATTGAAGCTAAGATGTAGTGACTGACAGGGTCTCAAATATCTCATCATTTCTCTTCTAGAAGCAGTTTAGAACATAGTTCAGGGAGCTCTGGAAAGGTGACCAGTCATCTTTTCTCTGGCATCACGGGATCAACGGGTAAAGTCTCTAGGCCAGACTTAGTTGTACTAGCGTGTAGTTTGGTTGACCACCATGGAGTTTAAGCTTTCCAGGTATTACAGGGGAGGAAGGATGATGAGCTTTATAGTCTCCTCCCAAAATTTTCAGTGGACTAGGGCCCTCACTAGCTATTGACCCAGTAGAAGATTGACCAAGACTTGGAATTAGGAGCATATGGTCCACTTAGACTGTTGGGATCATTGTTTCTGTGAGTTCCAGATGAAATCCTCTGTTTTTCATAGTTCACCCTTAATTTGATTCTTCTGTGCCCGTGACTCCTTTCCTCCCTCTTTGTGGACTGCCTGGTGTACTCCTTGGGGACCATTAATTCTACTGTCAAGTTTAGGATTATTTTGTTTGTTACAAATACTTATTATTGTCCAAAGAAATTAAACAGTTTTACTTCTACAACAGTGCATGCTCCTTATGAGTTATCACTGAAGACTGGCAAGTACATAAAATAAGAAGCCAGAGGTGCATTGGCAAGCCCTTCTTTCACCTGTGTGCTCTGGATTGGCAGTCAGGATGCTATAAGCAATTCAATAACATTGAGTTATCTGTTTTTTGTTAAAGATCATGTTCCTGCAAAATAACTTAAAATTTATTTTCAAAACTACTTTAAGCTTCTTTACTGTGAAAAATGTCCGAGAATGTGCATTTTCTTGGTATATATTCAGAACTTTGCTTGGTATATTTTGTTAATAGCCAATTTCTTGGCATCTCTTTATTAGAAATATACTTTATTTTGCCTCAGTTGTGATTACTTATTAACTAAGAAGTGATTAGTAATTTGAGCAATGCAGTATGAAGTATTTATTCCTACTTCTTTCACGTACCTGCCATTGCACCTCAGCATGAGAATTTGCATTATTTACGGCATTATGTAAAGCCTGTTCTTTGAAAATTGAATTATTAGTACTTGTACTACCTAGTTGTCCTATCTTACTCCTGCCCTTCAGTGTCATGGTAGGAAGGTGTGCTTGAAGCTTAAATTAAAAAGCTTAAAGCAGCATCATTGGTTATTAGGGAAAATGCGGATCAAAACCACAGTGAAATACCACTTTATACCCAATAGGATGGCTACAATCAAAAAGATGGACAACAACAAGTACTGGCAATGATGTGAAAAAATTCGAGCCATCATACATTGCTGGTGGGAATGTGAAACAGCATAGCTGCTGTGGAAAACAGTCTGGCAGCTCCTCAAAAAGTTACACAGAGTTACCATACGACCCAACAATTCTACTTTTAGGTATACACCCAAGAAAATTGAAAACACACGTTCACACAAAAACTTGTACATGAATTTCATAGAAGCATTATTTATAATAACCAAAAGGTGGAAACCACCCAAAAGTCCATCGATGATGAGTGGATAAACAAACTGTCATCTATCCATCTAGTGAAACATTCCACCATAAAAAGGAATGTAATACTGATATGTGCTACAACACGGATGAGCTTTGAAAACATGCTACATGAGAGAAGCCAGGCACAAAAGGCCAAATATCATATGATTCCATTTATGTGAAGTGTCCATAATCAGCAAATAGAAAGTAGTGGTTGCCAAGAGCAGGGGAAGGGGCAGTGGGAAGTGGCTGCTGAAGGCACAGAGTTTATTATAGAGGCGACCAAAATGTTCTATAATTAGATAGTGGAGATGGTTCTACAACTTTGCGAATTTACTAAAAACCACTGAATCATGTACTTTAATTTTTTAAATTTTACTTGTTGCTGTGTGCAGACTTTCTCTAGTTGCAGCGAGCGGGGGCTACTCTTCATTGTGGCGCGCGGGCTTCTCATCGTAGTGGCTTTTCTTGTTGCGGAGCATGGGCTCGAGGCACACGGGCTTCAGTAGTTGCAGCATGCAGGCTCAGTAGTTGTGGCACGTGGGCCCTAGAGCAAGTGGGCTTCAGTAGTTGCAGCACATGGGCTCAGTAATCGTGGCGTGTGGGCTCTAGGGCGCACAGGCTTCAGTAGTTGTGACATGTGGGCTCAGAAGTTGTGGCTTGCGGGTTCTAGAGCACAGGCTCAGTAGTTGTGGCGCATGGGCTTAGTTGCTCTGCGGCATATGGGATTTTCCCAGACCAGTGATGGAACCTGTGTCCCCTGCATTGGCATGTAGATTCTTAACCACTGCACCACCAGGGAAGCCCCTGAATCACATACTTTAAAAAGATGACTTTTATAGTACATGAATTACATCAATTTAAAAAAAGTGAGGGAGGGACTTCCCTGGTGGCACAGTGGATAGGACTCCACACTTCCAGTGCAGGGGGCTTTGGGTTAAGGAACCAGATCCCACATGCATGCTGCAACTAAGAGTTTGCATGCCACAACTAAGGAGCCCACGTGCTGCAACTGTGGAGCTGGTGAGCTTCAACTAAGGAGCCTGCGAGCCACAACTAAGGAGCCCGCCTGCCACAACTAAGACCCTGTGCAACCAAATAAATAAATATTTTTTAAAAAATAGAAAAAGGGGCTTCCCTGGTGGCGCAGTGGTTGAGAGTCCACCTGCCAATGCAGGGGACGCGGGTTCGTGCCCCGGTCCGGGAAGGTCCCACATGCCGCGGAGCGGCTGGGCCCATGAGCCATGGCCGCTGGGCCTGCACGTCCGGAGCCTGTGCTCCGCAACAGGAGAGGCCACAGCAGCGAGAGGCCCGTGTACCACAAAAAATTTTTAAAAAATTTTTTTTAATTTAAAAATATTAAAAAGTGGGGGAAAAGCTTAAAGGGATTGGCTAGTACATGGCATTGTGGCATAGCTGTGTAATGATTAGCCTTTTCTAGAACAGGAGATAAAGCAAGATTTTGAATGTATTTAGTATTTTCCAGTCCCCTCATGATTCCCTGAAACATAGCATAACTTCTTAAGGGCCTATCAGTCAAGTTGATGAAAAACAGTTCCCCACACCCCCTTATATCCTAAGTTTAATTTAGTTCCTTTTTACTCTGTAGATATGGGATGACAGAGACAGTGTAGGTGACACATGTACAAAAAAGATTACACATGCACACACAGACCATCATGCTAGAATCAGGTATTTCCTAGACAGTAGAAAACATTTCATTGGATCAGGTTGCTATAGACAGTTCTGATTGGCAAAACTTCATGGGCTCCTAGAGAACGTGCAACTGAATTCTCATTTTACAGGTCCCTACCCCACCCGCCACTATCCAAAAGTAGAGTGTTCCTAGGAAACCTTTCCTTAAGCCGAGATGGCATAAAGCAATTGCCTTAGGACTCATCTTACTAATGGATGCACAAAATAAATCGAGATAAAGAACAGATGCTCACAGACACAGTTCAAAGATATTGCAGCTGGATGCTGAGATGCTGAGTGTAGTTCCTGGGGAAGGAGCTTGGTGGTGCCACTCTTGGTGCAAAATAAACATTGAACACTGTTTTTGCTTTTTGCCTTTTTTCGTGTAAAAGCAAAAATCCTCTTGGGATTACTTTCAGTTAGCAAATACTGGAAGTATTGTAGATGTTTCTTAAAAGTGAGGTGGCATAAAGCAAACTTTCAAACAATGGGGGATACCTGTATATCTAACACTTTTAAGTATGAGAGCATGTTGACTCAGACGTAGTCAATAAATTTCATGTAAGTCAAAATTAACCTCTCCTGAACTTCTTAAAGTTCTAATCTATTTTTGAACTTGCTTGAGTTTTCTTTAAATTTTTGTGTCGTTGTAGATTCCCATTGAAAATGTCTTCTCCTATTCAGAAGATAAATATAAAGAAAAGTTTGGATGTCAAACAGATTGGCACATTAAGAAATCACCTTCCCATGATTAGAGAAGACTCTAAATGCCAGTAAACGCTGAAGTGCCTTTGTTTAACAGTGTCAAGAAGTAAAATAAAGTTGTAGGTTACCCAAAAAAAAAAAAAAAAAAAAAACTGTCAATTTTGCATGATGAACCAGACTCTTAAGACATTGTTTTGTGCTGTTTCCATTGTTCTGCCCCAAGATGGTTGGAAGAATATGAAGAGAAGGAGTTTAGGAAGGATAATAACAGCGGTAGATAGTTGATACCTGTGATTATGGTCATTGTGGCTTTAATCTAATTGATACCCTGTTGTTGGTCCTGCATGTTGTGACATAATTGTGGGTGCTAATCCCTTAGAGCTTCAAATTCATCACTGTGCAGCCTTCCAAATACCAATGTCAGATATACTCTATTTGTAGTGGTCATATTTCTCGCTTATATAGTTACAAAAACCTGAATCAGTATTTTTATGGTATTTGTGCTACCTTATTTTCAACTAGACTCAGCCTTTATATAGAAGAGAAATAAACGTATTTTGTGTTATTGTACAAGATGGAACTAAACCCAGTAGGAGGAACCTATTAAGAGGAATTCCTAATGGCTAGCCCTGTCCAAGTGTACAACAGACTGAAGAGTAAGCATCCATTACTAGAGTATTACAGTTTAAAGAAGGAATTCCTTCATTGGTCAGATTATTGAACTAAATTAATAAAAATTCCCTTTTCGCTTTAAGATTCACATACTTTATATATAGAACAGTTTTTTAGACTTGCCCGTCTTTGCTTAATTCCATTAACATTAGTTCTCAAATTTTGAATCATTGTGTTGAATTCTAAATTTCAAATAACCAAAATGTCTTTTGCTTTAGTACCTGGTGGAAACAACTCATTTGACCTACTTCAAGACTTCTGCTTGGGACGTTTTTATTAGAAAAGGATTTTTAACTGACTCTTCTATATACTAAACCAAGAAACATAATCATTACTGTTTAGCAGTTTATAGTTAAAGTTAGATTGTCCAGATACCTGCACGTATATAAGTCAGTACACAAATGGGTGAGAATATATATATGTATATATATAAGTCAGTTTTCTTCTTGTAAATATTGTATTTTAAGGTTGGTCTTTTCTCAACAGTGCAGTTCCTGTGGTTTTATGTTTTTGAAATGTGTTGTTTCATGCCCTTTCTTTTCCCTTTGCTTCCTCACAGTGCCATGGAAAGCCATTCCCTCCTCAATCCCAACCTGCAGCAAGGTGAGGGGGTCCTGTCCAGCTTCCGAACCACGTGGCAGGAGTTTGTAGAGGATCTGGGCTTCTGGAGGGTGTTGCTCTTGATCTTTGTCATTGCTCTGCTGTCGCTTGGCATCGCCTACTATGTGAGTGGGGTGCTACCCTTCGTGGAAAACCAGCCTGAACTGGTGCATTAGAAGAGCCCATGGGAGAGGAGGCAGATGCCAGTATCCTGGCTTCCGTTGTTTGTTCTCTTGGTGCAAGGCAGTGAGGGCTGTACAGTTTTTCTTTTTGCAGTTTTACACATTGTAATCCTTGTAGAAGAACTAACTACATGCTGTAGTCAAGTGTACTGTCCTAAAGCTACCTCCAGCTCAGCATGACCTCTTAGGAAAGGCTCTGCATAGCCTTGTTTGATAAAAACATGGAAGTGACTAAAGAATGAGAGATAGAGGATGAGACTAGGAAATCCTTGCTACAGAAACCTTACCCTAACATAAGACCAACTAAAGTGAAGTGTTTGAAGCTTGTCTTATATGATTAGTTTTGGTTGGTAGTTTTGTTTTGTTTTTGTTTATTTTTGCAAGAGCTGCTTTTCTCTTTTTATTTACTTTCTCTGGGGAATATCGGGGGCAGGGGCTGGGGAGAATGAAGCATTCAGCTTAAAACTTGAAGTGCTTTTTTCAAATCTTGTAGAGCAAATCAGTATTTTTGGAATGCTTGGTTTGTTTTAATATTTTCAAGTCTAGTCACATACCAAACAGAACTTATGAAAATGAGCTGTATTTTCCTCAAAAATGCCTGATTTGATCTTATATTTATTTGTTTTTAGGATAATTTTGGGTTTTTTCTAAGCTGCTTTGCTTGTTGTTATCTGTGACGAATGAACTTGAGAAGTTCATTTTGTTCATTTGTCCATTTCCCCTAGTGTTTATTTCAGAGATGTTCTGTTCATCAAAAATGCAGTCAGAAAACTTTCTCTACTCAGTAGGTAGCAGGGGAAAATAATTCTGATGTTTAAATGTCACTGTAATCCTGTAGTACTATTATGGTGAAAAATTCAGTTCTATAAGCTAGCTGTGTTGTCACAATTGTATCATAGTTCATAATTTTTTCATTTTATGTGCAGTCCTGTTTAGAGGCCCTGTTAGAATCGTGGTGACAATCCCATACATGTTAGTTGTTCTCTGATGGCAAGAATGGATGGTGTATTTCTGAATTAACAGTGTTGAACACTATTGTACTAGGTATCATAAACTCCTTCTGAATGCTCATATTATGTAAATTGAAATATGGCCCCCAAACTGTATTGCACCTTTTAGCAGTTGTTTGAAGGCCTCTTTTGTTAATGATTCTGCTATGTTTAAGTCATATTCTTGGGTTATTAAAAAAGGATATGAAGACTTGAGAATTATTCATTGGGTGTAGTCAGAAAATTATAGTGAACATTTAGAACATAAGTCATCTAAGCTACCGCTAATTGAATTGTTGCTAGAATTAGAAATTATAATTTAAAGCAGAATTGGTATTTCTGTGATTCTTTTTGCTTCTTAATATTTTCTCTTTTGCATTTATATATCTAGGATTGAGGCATTTTTCTTTCCTGTGACTTTATCCTGTCTTAAAGAGCTGTTCTAAAATTCCTGATTTACCTGGCTGCCTCAGGATCAGCTCATAGCATCTTGCTTTTAGCTTAGATACAAACAAAATTAATCATACTTGGTGTAAATACAGCAAACCGTGGATGTTAGAATGGAGAACACTAGAACTCAAAATCAAAGTATATTCAGATTAAAAGCTTTGGAATTAGCTTTGCTTTTGTTTGTAACTCTAAACAGATGTGCAAAATTGGTTAACATGTATGTAAATATATTGCATTTTTTAAAGATTTATGTTTCCTTTTAAGTGCTGATTTCTTTGTATTCTATTCTCTGCATTCAGTATTCAGTAATACTACCAATAAACATATTTATAATCTCTTAATCACGATCTGTTTGCTTAGGTATCATTGTTTTTCTTTTAATTTAGGATTTTTTTAAATGGGTTCCAATTGGCTGTTCATAAAAACAAAGTTTTTTTTTTCAAACCTGATGTAATAGGTATATCACGTTTCACGTATGTTAGCCTTATAAATGTTCTGACACTAATTTGGGTGAATTGCTTTTGGATTTAAGCATGATAATAACTACCATGATTAAGCACCTACCAATTTTACAGGTCAGTTCACATGTCTCATCTCATTTCATCCTTATGTTCACCCCACCCCTGCTGTATTTCCCCATTTTATAAGATGAAGAAACTGATACTAGGAGGTTTAAGTAACTTGTCCAATATCAGACAGCTAGGACATAGTGGAATAGGGATTCCACATTCAGGCTCTATTCCCAATTATAAGTTTGCTTTTTCCTCCTGCCCTGCTGTCTCTTACGAGTCTGGCAGTGGAACCATGTAGAATCTTGCCTACTGCCGTCTCAGCAACACCTGTTACTAAAATTTTCACTCCTGTTTCTAAATACTTATCTTTTCCTCCTCCTATAATGCACCAGTTTTCCACATCCTCCCAGGATCACTGACCCTTCATATTGAAGCTCAAACCCTGGCATGTTCAGAAAGCCTAATGTACTTAAACATATCTGACTGCCCACTTCTCTACCTCTCATTCCTCATCACTTAACTGTACTCAGTAAACAGGTACAGTTGACCCTTGAACACTGCAGGGGTTACTAGGAAGTAGGGGCACTGACCACCGCACAGCTGAAAATCAGCGAGTAACTTGACAGGGGGCCCTTGGTATCTATGGTTCTGCATCTGCAGATTCAACCAACAGTTGATGATCTTGCAGTACTGCACTACATATCTTTTTTTAAGATTTATTTATTTATTATTTATTTATTTATTTATGGCTGCGGCTGGGTCTTAGTTGCGGCACCCGGGATCTTTGTTGAGGCGTGCAGGATCTTTCGTTGTGGCACACAGGCCCTTTGTTGTGCTGCGCGGGTTTCCTCTTCTCTAGTTGTGGCGCACAGGCTCCAGGGTGCGTGGGCTCTGTAGTTTGCAGCACGTGTGCTCTAGTCGAGGCACGGGCTCAGTAGTTGTGACTCATGGGCTTAGTTGCCCTGCGGCATGTGGGATCTTAGTTCCCCGACCAAGGATCAAACCCACATCCCCTGCATTGTAAGGCGGATTCTTTACCACTGGACCACCAGGGAAATCCCTGTACTACGTATTTAACAAAAAAAATCCAGGTGTAAGTGGACCCATGCATTTAAAACCCTTGTTCAAGGGTCAACTAAATTTTTTTTTTTTTTAAAGCCTGGTGGGATTTTTTTTTTTTTGTGGCTGTGTTGGGTCTTCGTTGCTGCATGCAGGCTTTCTCTAGTTGTGGTGAGCGGGGGCTGCTCTTCGTTGCGGTGCATGGGCTTCTCATTGTGGTGGCTTCTCGTTGCAGAGCACGGGCAGTAGACACGCAGGCTTCTGTAGTTGTGGCTCATGGGCTCTAGAGCGCAGACTCTGTAGTTGTGGCACACGGGCTTAGTTGCTCTGCGACATGTGGGATCTTCCCAGACCAGGGCTCTCACCCATGGCCCCTTTATTGGCAGGCGGATTCTTAACCACTGCGCCACCAGGGAAGTCCTCAACTGAATTTTTTTTTTTTGGTCTTTTTGATGATAAGTTTCATGAGAGCAGGGACTTCGTCTGTTTTTCCTTTCCTATTCACAGTGCACCCTGTAGAACTCTTTGAACACAAAGACTTCTTTTTATAATAACTGTATTTTTTCTTTTCAGATTTAAACGTGCTTTTCACACGTTTCCTCCAACAGGCTGCATCTGTGAATGTGCTGACCATTCTTCCGCAGTATGCCTGCCGCTGGATGGAAGGGCTAGAGTCTTGTACCCCTGGCTTCTTTATGTAAGAGCATGCAGGCTTTCCACTAGGATAGCCTGCCTCACATTTACCACAGGTTTTTTAAAAAAAAAGCATAGTTGCTCTATTTTTTACCACATGGTATTAGAAGTCCAGAAACAATAGTCACCTTTTGTTGTTGTTGTTGTTTTGTTTTAACCAGACCTCAGTCTTTGACGTGTGAAATTGTTTATGAATGTATCAAAGTGCTTTTGGTTGCAAGAAGCCAAAATCCAAATTCAAAGTGGCTCAAACCATAGGAAATATATTGACTTATGTAACTGGAAGCCCAGAGGTAGAGTAGACCCCAAGGGTGACATAATCCAAATCTAGCTCAGTTACCCTCTGCTTTTCACGCTGTCCTCCCGTTTGTTGGTTTCATCCTCCAGCTGGATCTGAGATGAGTCCAGAATTTTCAGGCCTGACATTCATTTGTGACCATGTAGAGAAGAAGAAAGAAACCATCTTTCCTCTGGTGTTCTCCTAGGAAGCTTTCCTGCAGAGTCCCCAGCCAACTTCCTCTTGGTTTCATTGGCCGACATTACATCGTGTACCCTATTCTCAAGCCAGCCAATGCCATGCACTGATTTACTAGGCCTAGCTTGATGGATCAGTCATGGGGGTGGGTGGGGTTGGTAGGATTAATATGATTGGCTTGGACCAATTGTTTTAGAAATGATGGGAGGTGCTGCTGGCAGTAAGTGGGCAGGGCCCGTAGATGTTTTATGTCTTATAGAACATGGGGCAGTTTTGCACAACAAAGAATCATTCCACATCCCACATGATTCTTGAATGTTCTGCTGGTCATTCATATGGGTGGGTGGTTTTGGTTTTTTTTTAAGTTTGTTATCCGAGCCTAAACCCTAACTCCATTTTACATTTTAAAGTATTTTTTCATACGGTTTTAATATACCCTGAATTTTCTAAGAATACAACCACAAGATAATTGAGGGGAGATTCTACTCTATTTTGTTCAAAGCTTGACCAGGAATTATACCTCTTCCAAGAAATCTTGTTATTGAAGGCGGTGTTACTGATGATAATTGAGTCCCCCATATAATTCTCTGTGAGGCCACTGATGACTTCATTGTTTCTTCTAGTGTAGCTGTGCCTGGGTGTTCACATATTGAAATGCACACTTTGTTATCAATTACTTTCCCTTTATTTTTCCTTTATATTACATGATTTGTATTAAATCATTTTATTTCAGCAGTTGTTACTCACTTTTATCTGGGATGTATGCTAGAGCTTCTTTCAGTCATCTTGGTATGCCTTTTCCTAGAAGTGTTATCTTGGAGGGTACACCAGGAAGAAGCATTTCTCAAAGTTAATAGAACACTGGGGAGAAGAAAAGAAGCCAGCATCTGGTTAAACCTTTTAAAATTGTTCAAGCTGAAACAATCCCAGCTGTGCTAGATGAAGTAGGACTTTGGGATCAGGCCCATTCCTTTGAGCTCTGAAGTCGATTCAAAACAGTTTTCTAGGGAGGATCTTGGCCTTGCTATGGGTACCTCCTTGGCTTCCCTCAAAGTGCAGATAGGCTGGCACTCTGCTCAGTCTCTCA